GTGCTGTTGCGACTGGCGGTGGTGGGAGTGCAGCGTCTGGAGAGACCCCTCGTGCAGCGGCTGGTGACTCCACTGCGCCTGCTGGTGGCGGCGACCCCCGAGCTCGTCAGTCGCCTCCTGTACTGCCGACCCCGCTAGGTGGAGCAGCGGCGTGGTACCAGGCTCAGCGTCAGCAGCACCTTCAGCAGCAGCAGCAGCCCCTTTCCTCCCGCCAGCCTCAGCAGCAGCAGCGTCAGCAGCTGGCTCCGGGGTCGGGGCTGCGTCAGCCCCAGCGCGGTGCTTCTTACCCTCCCTGCACCTATCAGGTTCTGACAGGTCCTCGTCGGGGCCACCCTTGTGGCCGCTTTCACCCCCCTGGTCAGTGCTTTGCTCAGCTCACTGACACGGTCCGGTTGGCCTACGGGGTTGGCGGTCCTGCTCTTGACTGGCTTCCTCTGGTTCAGCGCTACGGCTCCGCTCTGTGGGGCATGTCTGCTGAGCAGTTAGTTGATCTGATTGGTGCTCCTCATGCTATGTATGCTGTTGTTGACTCTAGTGTTTCTGACTCTGTTTACTCTGGTGTTGTTAGCTTAGGTGCTAGTCTTGCTCAGTTGCCTGTTGCTAGTGTAGGTTCTTGTGTAGACTCTAGACCAGCGACTACCTCAGAGGACGCTTCGCTGTCGTTCACGCTGGACTCTGGAGCCTCACACTGCTTCTTCCGGGACAGCACGACACTTACACCACTTCCTGCGCCTGTTTCTGTGGCTTTGGCTGATCCCACTACGGGACCAGTCACTGCACGTCACACTACCACTTTACCGTGTCCTACTGCTCCCTCCGGGTCTCTCACTGGGTTTCACGTCCCCTCGTTCTCCCGGAACTTGGTGGGCGTGCGACCCCTCGTGAGTCAGCACGTGGGTGTGTGGTTTGAGCCTTCTGGAGAGACTGCGGTGTGTGTTGACAGAGACTCTTACCAGCCTCTTGCTACCTTTACTGCTGAGCCGGGCTCAGGTCTCTACACTCTTCACACTGGCCCGCGTGCGCCGCAGCAGCAGCCGCAGCAGCAGCAGCAGCCGCAGCCGCAGCAGCAGCAGCTGCACCAGCGGTCGCACCAGCAGCCGCCCCTACTGCCACTGCCCCCGGTTCCCCCCCCCCGTTCGGGTCCCCGCGTCTCACCAGGTTGCTTCGTCCCCCCAGGTGTCTGTGTCATGTCAGGTTCCTACGTCTGCTCCAGTCGCTGCGTCGTGCTCCTGCCGGTCGCTTGCCCACCCCACCGTTCTGTGGCACCACCGGATGGGGCACCCGTCCCTTCCTCGTCTGCGCGCTATGTCTAGTCAGCGTCTTGTCCTAGGCCTCCCACGTGTCTTGCCGTCGCTGCCGCCTTCGCTTGCGCCGCCGTGTGGTCCCTGCGTCGAGGGTCGGCTGCGCGCCGCCCCTCACTCCTCCTCCCTTCGTCCGGCCACCGAGCCTTTTGAGACGCTTCACTTGGACGTCTGGGGCCCCGCCCCTCGTCTAGGCCCTGAGCGTGAGCGCTACTTTCTGGTGGTCGTTGACGACTTCTCCCGCTACACCACAGTGTTCCCTCTGGCGAAGAAGTCTGAGGTGACTTCTACGCTGATCAGGTGGTTGCTCACCACCGAGGACACTCGTGATCGTCGTGTCAGCTGCCTCCACTCCGACCGTGGGGGTGAGTTTCGCTCCGGCATTCTCGCTGGATTCTGTCGTGAGCAGGGCATTCGTCAGTCCTGGACGCTTCCAGAGTCCCCACAGCAGAATGGGGTTGCTGAGCGCCGCATAGGCCTGGTCATGGAGATCGCCCGCACCTCCCTGACTCACGCCTGTGCCCCCCATTTTCTGTGGCCCTACGCGGTCAGGTACGCCGCGCACCAGCTGAACCTCTGGCCACGTGTCTCTCGACCAGAGGTTTCACCGACCAGTCTTTGGACAGGGTCCCCTGGTGTTGCGTCGCGGTTTCGTGTCTAGGGGTGCTTGGCTCTTGTCCGCGACACCTCCGCGCACAAGCTCTCGCCTCGTGCCGTCCCCTGTGTCTTCCTTGGTTTCCCTGAGGACTCCTCTGACTTCACCTTTTACCACCCTCCCTCTCACCGGTTCTTTGACTCCCGTGACGTCCGTTTCGAGGAGTCCACTCCGTACTACGTCAGGTACCCCAGTCGAGGTCTCCAGGTTCCTCCTCCCCCCCTCTTCCTGACTGCCGCTCCCCCTCCTGTTCCCCCGGTACAGCCTCCCCCCCCTGGTCCAGCCCCGTCGGGTGTGTCCCAGGCTACCCCTCCTCCTTCGGTAGCCTCTCAGGTACAGCCTCCCTCCCCACAGTCCTCCTCGCAGCGTGCCGCAGGTGCTAGCTCTCGAGAGGTTGGTGCTGCGCCTGTTCCTGTACCGGTTTCTGGTTCTGGGGGTGGTGGAGTTGGAGCTGGAGTTGGAGCTGGAGTTGGAGCTGGAGTTGGCACTGGAGTTTCTGGTTCTGGGGGTGCAGGGGTTGGAGCTGGAGTTGGAGCTGGAGTTTCTGGTTCTGGAGTTGGAGCTGACCCGGTGGGTGCAGAGGACTCTTATCGTCCGGGAGCTGGTGCTGGTCGCGCGGACACTGGGGGTGAGAGTGCGCCTCCTTCGGGTTCTGGTGAGCCTGGGTCTGGAGCTGGTGTTAGTGCTACCTCTGGGGGTGGTGCGCCTGGTTCTTCGGGGGTGGACTCTGGAGCTACCGCTGCTTCGGACACTACTCCGCCCCCCCACCCCTACCCGACTAGGCACCAGGCTCGTGTTCGCCGTGCCCGTGACGAGCAGCTGGCGTTGGAGAGAGAGGAGAGGGAGTTACAGCGGCTGGAGGAGCAGCAGCAGCAGCTGGAGCCGCAGGAGCTGCAGCACCTGGACCCGCAGGAGCAGCAGTCCCAGCAGCAGCCGCTTCCGCAGCAGCAGCAGTCGCAGCAGCAGCAGCAGCAGCAGCCACTTCCTCCTCCTGTCTCGGGTCTTCGGACCCTTGGTCTCCCCTCCCCTTCTCCTCCCTCCTCCGCCTCTCCTCCTGTCTACGGTCCCACGTTTCCTCCTCCTGACTCCTCCCCCGCTGTTTTCCCCAGTTCTCCGCCTTTGTCCTCTCCTCCTCCGTCTCGTTCTTGGGCTACTCGTCGCTCCCCTCGTGCTCGTCCCTCGTCTCCTGTTCCCTTCACTGACCTTCGTACTGCCTTCCTTCTTTCTAGTCCACCTCGTCCGTCTCAGTCTGTGCTTCCGTCTCCTCCTGAGTCGGCCCTCACTGTGTCGCTCCCTACTCCTGTCACTGACTACTACCGCACGTACCGTCCTGTTCTCTCTCGTGTTCTCGCCTCTCTTGTTACTCACCCTCGTGCCTCTGTGTCCTCTGTGTCCGCTCTTACTGCCGCAGTTACTGACTTTGCCTCTACCCGCCGCCTTGACTGCGCCACCACGCTTGTGGCTGCTCCTCCTACCAGTCCTCTGGCCGTCGGGGGTGTGTCTGCCCTTGGCTGTGACGCCCTAGAGGACAGGCAGTTTGAGCTAGAGTTCCTGGCGACCGCTTCCTCTCATCTCTGTGCCATGCTCCTCGCCCCTGAGGGTGACCCCGACGCCCTTGACATTCCGACTCCTCGCACTTACGCTGAGGCAGTGTCAGGGCCTTGGGCCTCTCAGTGGAGAGCTGCCATGGACGCAGAGATGGCCTCCTACAGATCCACAGGCACCTACGTCGATGAGGTTCCCCCCCGTGGGGCGAACGTAGTCGACGGCATGTGGATCTACAGGGTGAAGCGGCCACCGGGATCTCCCCCGGTCTCCACCGGGATCACCCCTGGTGGGTGTTATAGAGAATCACCCCAAAAAGGGGGGTATAGTACTAACGGGGTCGGATAGAACACCCACCCCGTATTAGCTACCCGGGGGTGTGCAATTACGGGGGGGGGGGTGTTGTACCCGGGAGAATTCGGTAACTCAAGCATTTTGAGTAGTGTACGAGATAAGACATATATGTCTACTATCCGGGCGATGACGGTAATTCATTCGTCCCTGCCTCATGATTATGACATCCTCTTGATCAATAAAGATGCTCCCTGAATTATTTGCATCGATTTCAAGTGTAATCAGTGTCATGTATGATCCTAGCTGGCTCCATTGCGAGCAGGGCCCAAAATTGGTTTAGGCCTACCCTTACGAATCAGGGTAACAGCCCCTCCTTAACCAGACCCCTAGGGTAAAACATTTCATACCCTGTTTTCAGCAGGGTAAATGTACCACTAGCCTGATTTGAGCAGGGTAGTTTTAGGCTAAGCCTGTTTTTGTATCTATTTTGTGAGTTAACTTATTTTTAATGATATACACAAGTAGCACATTCAGAGTCCATGAAGTCAACACACGCAACTGGCCGTTTCTTCCACGGGGCGGGCCCTGTTATGGCCAGCAAGGCAGCACTGAGGCTGCAAGTTGTTGTTAAGGACAGCTTGAAGCTGTCCTTGACAGCCAATTCTGCTGTGATGGCGGTGGGCGTGGCGATAAGTGACGAGGAGCAATAATTGTTGGCAGTCCTGGGGCAGAAACAACCAATGAGGATTCTTGGCGTGCTGCCAACTACGATGCAAGTTTCCATGCGCGTGGGCACGAGCGACAACGGGTGTTTGTGGAGGTGTTGTACGTTTTGTCGCCACCACGCTGACTATGGTCTGATTCGCGTTAGAAAAGATTCGGTAACAGGGTAGTGTACACCAAACCCTGATTCCGCCAGGGTAAGCTAAAAACCTAGCAGGGTAAAATAAAACATGCTCTTTTAAGAGAAGGGTAACTTTTTCGCAATCCTGATTTCAGCAGGGTAATCCTGAAAAAGCGGCCGGCCCCCAGGGTAATCAGGGTGTTTTACCCTGATATTTTGGGCCCTGATTGCGAGCCCTGTTGCATGTCCTTTGCTGTAATTCGTCACCTACCGTATCAATCACCCTTTCAAGTCATCTCATTTACCGTACCTTGTGGTTACATAAACAGCAGGTTTTCTGGATACTTCTCCAATAAACTTTTCAAGGGTCTGGCGTGACGTGACGTCCTTCGCCCCAGTCCAACAGCCCGCCTCCCGCCAAGTCCATCATCGCTGCCGGCTGTGCGGCACGATGTGGTGTTTTCCACGACTTGATGAGCGCCTTCAGCAGACATATTCCTGTGACAAATACCGTATTACAAAAGAAAAGAAATTACAAAGGAACCAAAACCACAACACTACACCGAATTCCACTGCCTATCCCTCTGCACACATGCCCATCCACCATACCTAACCCTACCACCTCACCACACAGACATTAGTACATCCCCCCCAGCAGCATCACCAAGACACAACTATTACGCAACCAACTTGCAAACAGCGCAAGTTGCAAGCCATCAGCCACAGCAGCAGCAGCGGTGGCAGCAGCAGCAGCAGAATTAATGGCTCCAACAAAAAGCAGTGACGAAGGCAACAGAAGCAGCAGACCAAGCCAGCCATGGCAGCAGCAACAGCAGCAGCAGTGGAATCTGTGCCAGCAGCAACAAGAGGACCAGCAGAACCAGCAACGCATAGAGTCCCTTCTGAGCTCAGCTGAGAGAACTCCACTCCACTGCACCGTGCAGCTACCAGCAGCAGTGGCACCATACCAGCTGGGTGGCTGCCGCCCCTCCTGCACGCTACCACGCCGCCTTGCCCCGCGCACCTGCCCCCTCCCCCTAACCACCACCTTTTCGCGGTTGCAGGAACGAGCCACCGCCCGCCTTCACGGGCCCTTTACCCTCCCATCTGCCCCCCAATGCCCCTCCCCATGCGCGTACCCCGTGCTCTTCACGTCCTTCCACGTCAGGCCTTCACCACCCCGCCGCTGCTCTGCGCGTTAGCCGCCACAGCCTTGGTCAAAATGCCACCCAACTTGCCCGCCGTGCCCTTCACCTCCTTCCACGTCAGGCCTTCACCTGCGCTTTTGCTGCCACCGCCTTGGACACAATGTCTCCTATCTTCCCCCCCGCGCTCCCCGCGTTTGTGCTCGTGCCGGCCGCCGCCGCGTTCTTCATCTCTCCCCACGTCAGCAGCACTCGCACCGCCTCATCCAGCCCGTCCGTCACCTCCCCCACCTCCTCCTCCTCCTCGCCACCCTGCTGGTCCAGTTCAGCGTCTGCACCGCTTGCGACGGAGCCGCTGCTCGCTTCCAGCAGCTTGCGGCCCCACCTCGCCGCCGCGTCCACGGCCGCGCTTCCCCCAGCAGCGACGTCGCCCCGCAGTGGCGCGGACGCGGCATAGAGTGCGGGGAGCGACGCGAGGACCAAGGCGAGAATGAACGCGGAGCGAAGAGTAGCCATGATGGGAGCGGTTGCGATTTAGAGAGCGTCGGAGCGACGGATTTCGAAAGTAGCAACTTGTGAAACACTGACGATGGCGATCGATGGAGAGGGTCAGACAATTTGGGTGATTTTCGAGCACCGAGAGAAGAAACTCGGTCAAGTGATGGTGAATGGCGGAACGGAGGGATTTTAAGTACTAAGGAAAGACGGAGGCGAGGGTGGTGCAGGGAGAGCGTCGGTCGCCATCATAATGGTACCGCTTCCAGCCGCTCGCGGGTATTGCTTGCACGGCGCCGCCGCACAACACGCAACACACGGGAACAGATGGATCAGCACCGCGCGACATGCGGGAAAAGCTGGATCCGCACAGCGTGACATGCCGCGCAACTACTACTGTGTGTGCGCTAGCAGTGAGGCTCGTACCACTGCCGCGTGTTGCGCTGGACTCCCCACTGGAGTTGGACGGCGGTGCGGCAATAATGGCTGACGGTCCATTTCGTACTGTGAGCCAGATCCCCACAGCTTGGTGAATTTCAGTGAGCTGTAACTAGCGAGACTGACTCCAGATGACGAAACTAGACGAGTGAGAGTAGTCCGCCATGTCTCATTCCTGCAGCTCGCAGTTATTGCTCACATAATGGCATGGCGCCGCACAATGCGCAAACAGTTGGTGAGAGTTCGGTATGGCACGTCAGTAACGAGGGTGCACACTTTCACACGCGATCCGGTTTGGGCTAGGTTGGGTTGGGTTGGGTAAAGCTGGGTTGGGTTGGGTAAAGCTGGGTTAGGTTGGGTTGCGAGAATATTAATCAAGCAAGTGTTCGTATCGCTCTAATAGCTCTTATGGCACTTCACCAAAAGCAGGGAGATTAGAAACCAAAATTTATCTGCCTTACAAAAAAGAGTATCACGCCAAGATTCTGGCCCCTCCACTAGGGTGTATGCAGCGCAAGGATTTTTTTTTTTTTTTTTTTTCACTTGTATATGCATTCCGATGGCTCACAAATGATGCTTCTAGCTAACAGGAATGGCGACCTTGACGCCTCACTCAGTCCTTGCCCACACTGCTCCCAAAGAAGAGCATCTTGCCGGCATGGGCGGGCTTGACTTGGAAGAGACGCATGCCGAACTGCGAGGTGGAGGTGAGCGGCACGGCGTTGAAGAAGGCGCAGGCCTTGAAGGCAAATGTATTCTTGAAGCGCTGCACGTCGTGCGTCTCTGCGAACCATTGGAAGACTGGAGGGGGATGAACGATGGAGAGGGGGGCAGAGGGAGTAGGCAGTTAAGGAATGGAAAAAGAATCGAGACGGTTCAAAAGCTGGAGAAGATTGGAGGGAGAGGGTACGGGGAGTGAGCCATATGAGGCAGAAGACAGGACAGACATGCGGGAATGGAGTGAAAACGGGAGGGCAGGCATGAGGGGATGGCGCAGGCCTTAGAAGGTGAGGATGCTTCGAAAGCTGTTTTTGAGGCGCCTCAAAAACCTGGGGGAGGGGAAGTATAGTCTGGGGCAGGGAAAGTATAGTCTGGGGGAGGGGAAGTATAGTCTGGGGGAGGGGAAGTATAGTCTGGGGGAGGGGAAGTATAGTCTGGGGGAGGGGAAGTATAGTCTGGGGGAGGGGAAGTATAGTCTGGGGGAGGGGAAGTATAGTCTGGGGAAGGGGAAGAATAGTCTGGGGGAGGGGAAGTATAGTCTGGGGGAGGGGAAGTATAGTCTGGGGGAGGGGAAGAATAGTCTCGGGGAGGGGAAGTTTAGTCTGGGGGAGGGGAAGAATAGTCTGGGTAAGACCCACAGTCCAGCGCGCGAGTTTCCTCCCCACTGGCTTGGTTCAGCCTGAGTGCGCCCTACCAGCCTCCCATTGAACTCACTCATCCCCTCTCGCTCCCTCCAGCCAGCCCACCCAGTCCTCACTCACCGAGAATGACCCATGGTTTGGCAACAGGCGGCCTCCATCCATCCACAGGTCGACCCCCCCGCTGCAATAAATTCTGATTCACTCGATCCCTTTACCGTTTGACTCACCCCACCTCGCTCACTCCATTACCCTTCAAGCATCCTTCACTCACCTAGAATGTTCCCTGGCTTGACAGCAGCGGGCTTCCACTCCCCAGGGAGACGATTTTGAAGGAGCCTAAAAGATCACCCCACGCACCCCCTTGCCAGACCACCATACTCCACTCAGCGAGAATGTCCCTCGGCTTCATAGCAGGAGGCGTCCACAGGTTAACTCCCCCACTCTCAGTGGCTCACTTCCTAAGGAACCCGATCAATGGCAGCAGCAGCGGCTGTGGGGGAGGGGGAAGAATTGGAGAAGTCATTTCCTAAGGAACCCGATCATCACTGGCAGCGGCTGTGGCTTTGCGACGTCTCAAAACAGCGGCTGTGGGGGAGGGGGAAGAATGGGGAGAAGGTGTGTAAAGCAATGAGGGCGTATGTCACAGGTTGACTCCCCCACTCCCAGTGGCTCACCGGGCTGCCCTGCAGGAACCCAACCATCACTGGCAGGCAGCGGCTGTGGGGGAAAGGAGCAAGGGCAGTTGAGGAAATGAGGGGGTTCCTCTCCAGCTCCAGTGGCTCACTGTGATTCCCTGCAGGAACCCGATCACCGCTGGCAGGGGCTGCGGGGAAGGGAAGAGAGGCAAGGAAGCATGCAAGGGTGCAGAGCGGTGAGGGAGGCTTCCATAGGTTGACTCCCCCGCTCCAGTGGCTCACCAACGGCTGAATCCCACCCGACCATCACTAGCAGCAGTTGTGGGGAAGAGGATGGGGGAGGGGCAATAAAGCATGGGCAGAAGCAGTGCAAAGTGGTAGGTTTTTCTTTTGCAAGTTGACTCCACTCCACCGCTCCAGTGGCTTACTGGGTTGCTTTGCAAAATCCCGATCGTCACTCCAGGGTCTGTGGGGGAGGGGAGGGAAGAGAGGGTGCAAGAGTAGGTACTGTGTGAGAGGGATGAAGTGGGGAAAAAACATGCATGAGAAGTGCACCAAGCAACATTTGATGGGAGGAGGCATATGGGAGTGGTATGTGGGAAGTGCATGCAAAGGAGGGTGCATGGAAAGTTTGTAAAAAGAGGCACACGCGAAATCAGGTGTAGATTCAATTCATGGAATCATTTTGTGAAGAGACTCGTACCGGGCTTGGGGTGCATTTGCAGACTGTGGTGGTACATAGAATCAGAAAGCATAGCATGAGATGATGCAATCACGAGTCTGGGGAATGAAGAGTGAAGATTTTACCTGGGCATATACTGCACGTGCACACACAACAGCGAGAAGAACACAGGGAGGGGGGAAACATCCATAAGAGTGCGTCACTTTCCAGTGTAACAGTTACCACTTCAAGTTGCGGTGGAAGTGCTCAAATGAAGGGGAATCAAAGAAAACAAGGTCAGCAGGTTCCCAAGGGAAATGTAGTGTCAAGTCCATAATAATGGAAGTAATACTGGCAGGTGCTTACTGGCGACGGATGCTGCGCCTGCGAGGAGCAGCAAATTCAGAGGGGCCATCCCATCCGTCCACACAGATGCAGACGATATGATCGCGATGCGATGATGGTGGGCCGAAATGGCAACAGCGACAGCACCAGGTGTGCAACTGGAAGTTATGGCAACATCAGTAACACCAGGTGTGTCTGACGCTCTTGAGGTGAGTGACACCAGGTGCAACTGGAAACTGTGGAACCACAGCAGCTCCCACTTGCTCTCGAGGCAGCCAGCATCAATATCGTTATCTGGAGCCTGAAGTCTTTCTGCCACTCTTCACCTTAGCTGACAGTGTGCGTGAGCAGGATAGACAGTGAGCCAGTTGTGATGTGTGTGGTGAGTGTCTGACGTGTGTGGTGAGTGTCTGACGTGTGTGGTGAGTGCCCAGTGCGTGTTATGAGTGCCTAGTGTATGTCACATTCAAATTAAGAACATGAAGTTTCTTTTCATGACCCCATACTACGGTATATTTCAACTCCTTCAGCAAAAGCATGGTAGCAGCAGATATATTTGCGATTACAGAATAACCAAAGCAAAGGAGCACCCAGTTCCAATACTAACCCTGTACAGCACACTCGCCCAACTAACCCTTCCACCCACCCCCCCCCCCACACACATACCTCTTCTAGCAGCATCACCAGGACAGAACTACAGTATTAAGCAACCAACTCTGCAATCCGGACCAGTTGAAAGCCACACCATCATCAGCAGCAGCACCACGAGCATCTACAGCAGTGACCTCACCAACAACAGAAGCACCGACAGCAGCAGCAGAAGCAGCGTAGTTAGTGACTTGCCTGCCACTACCCACTCCACTCCGCCGTGCCATCTCCCATCTCCCATCTCCCATCTCCCATCTCCCCCTTAAATCATGGTTTTCGCGGTCTTGACGAACAAGCCAGCGCCCGCCTGCAGGGCACCCTTGGCGCCCTTGCCACTGCGGAACGCGTTGACTGCAGCCGTGAGCGCCTCCTTGCCGCCCTTCTTCACCACATTCTTCACCAACCCTCCCGCCTTCTGCCCCGCCTCGCTCTTTGCCGCTTGATTCGCCGCGTTCTTGATCTGCTTCCACGTCAGCAGCACCCGCACTGCCTCGTCCAGCCCGTCCGTCGCCTCCCCCGCCTCCTCCTCCTCGCCACCCACGTCCAGGTCACCGCCGCTCGCTTCCAGCAGCTTGCGGCCCCAACTCGCCGCGTCCACGCCTGCACTTCCCCCAGCAGCAATGAAGGAATATATTAGAGAGCGTAGCGATAGCGAGAGAGTCTCTGCTATGGGAATGATGTTGCGCCAGCAACTTGGTAGAGTTTTGGTAGCGTTTGCCTCTAAGGACTTTGTGAGAATTGAGGTAGCATTTGGGCCAAGTAGAATTGCAATATCAATTATCAAACACACAAGCAAACACAAACATATATAGGCAAGCAAGAGTTGCACAATTGTTGCGTGGCGCTGCGAGTAACCCAACCCACACGAAAGTGCTGTGTAGGTGGGTGAACGCGCCCCGCACATTTCCAACCCAACTCGGCACTAGAATGTCTCACCGTGCACGCTACTCCTGCCAACACAGCAAGTGAGCAGCGTGCCTCACAAGCAAGGCACCTACGACCCCCAAGACTCGTCATTCCTAGCACCGATTCCGCCGAGTTCGCTGCAGTAGCTCACAGTCACCCGTAGTCACTAATGACCGCCACCGAACTCGTGCGTCGGTGCCGAGTAGACTCAGTCGTTAGGCGCGGACCTGCCAAGTCAAAGGTCATCGAGGGCCCTTGCTGTCATAGGGCCCTCTAACACTCCCCTGCCATACTACAGCAAGGCCCTTTATAATCACAGGGCATGCATACACACATACACACCAAAACAAAGGGATACACACAAACGAAACACGCTCAAAGTGTAAACACGCACCGCACCAGCCATGGATAGGCCATGGCACCATCCACATCATGGAGTGTCTAGGTCTCACTCCCCTCGCTCGAGAGCTGCACGTGCCCCACAGCCTCGAAGCAACGACTGAAGGCGGGGAAATGCAATGCCTTTGTGAGGTAGTCAGCAGGCTGCTCGCTCGTAGGGATGTACTGCAGCTGCAGCTTCCTGCGCTTGACCATGTGCTGCAGCCACATGTGACGACGCTCCATGTGCTTGAGGCTCCCCTTGAGCCCCATGCCACATGCCACTGAAATGGCGGAGGAGTTGTCCACAAAGAGAGTCGTGGGCTCCTCACTCCTCAGCAGTTGAAACTCTGCCAGCAGGAAGCCCAGCCTGCGCGCCTCCTTCCCAGCCTCCACAGCAGCAACGTACTCAGACTCAGTAGAGGAAAGGGTGGCGCAACGAATCCGCTCGCTCACCCATGAGACAGCAGCACCCCCAAGCACGAAGACATAGCCACCTGTGCTGGTCCTGTTCTGCTTGTCCCCTGCATCATCAGCATCGGCGTAGCCCACCAGCTCCAAGGACTCCGGCCCACCACCAAACTCCAGCGCCACATCCCTGCTCCCCACCAAGTACGTCAAGCACCGGTCCAACTCCTTCCAGTGCTGATCACTCCGCACAGTCTGGCCGGACCCCAGTTTGATGCAGGCGAACGAGATGTCGGGACGGGTGGTACAGGCCGCGAACTGCAAGGATCCCACCTTCTGCCTGTACTCCTCCTCCTGGCGAGACTGCCATCCCACATCCTCGAAGGTCTGCACACTGAAAGGGTCAGAGGAAAGAGGGGTGCGAGGCACTCACAGCGGCTGCTCCCCGTCAAAGAAGCGCCTATGGACCTTGTCCACATAGGCCCCCTGGTGCAGCCACAACCTCCTCGTGGGCCTGTCCCGAATCAGCTGCAACCCCAGATATTTCTCCACAGGGCTAATCTCCCACAGCTGAAAGGCACTCTGCAGCAGGTCACGCAGCTCCGCTAGCATGCTCTGACTGCGGCTGGCAGCAAGCAGGTCATCCACATACACCAGCAGCCAGCACATCTCCCCCTCAGCATCAGTCTTGAATTACAGAGCCTCATCCACCTTGCTCTTCTTCCATCCAGCCCCAAGCAGCACTCCATCCAAGGCCTCATACCATAGCATCGGGCTCTGCTTGAGCCCATACAGACTCTTCACCAACTTACAGACACGAGGAGTCCCATCCTCGTAGTAGCTCGGCTGCTCCATGTAAAGGTCTCGGTCCAGCACGCCATGGAGGAACGCGTTCTTCACATCGAGCTGCATCAGGTCCAAATCAAGTGCAGCTGCAATCGCCAGAAGCACACGCGCCGTCACATAGCTTCCCACAGGGGCGTACGTCTCCTCATAGTCCACCCCTGCCACCTGCGTGAACCCCTTCACCACCAGCCTCGCCTTCTCACGCTCCACTATCCCATCTGGTCGGAACTTGGTGTTCAAAATCCCGCGGTTCTTCATCACATTCACCCCTCGCGGACGCGGAACCAACTCCCACGTCCCCTGCCCAATCAAGCTCCGCATCTCCTCATCCATCGCCTCCTTCACCTTGTCTCCCTTCCAGCACCCCAAGGCCTCCTTCACGGTCATTTTCGCTATGTCCCACTGCCTCTCAGGATCAGCTGCCACGTCCGGGTCCAGGTTAGTCCACTCGTCGTCCTCCTCCTCGTCATCCAAGCCCGCTGGCTCAACCACTACAGCCCAAGCGTATCGAACAGGCGGGACACCACGAGTGATGCGAGTGGAGCGACGCAGTGGTGCAGTGGTCGTCCCAGAAACCAACACACGACCACCATCTCTAAGTCCCCACATCTCCTGCTCCCCTGTCTGCGGCTCCCCTGTCTGCTGCTCCCCAATCTGCTGCTCCCCTGTCTGCTGCTCTCCAATCTGCTGCTCCCCTGTCTGCTGCTCCCCTGTCTCCTGCCCCCCACTCTGCTGTACTCCATCCATACTGCTCTCATCCTGCAGCTGCTCAGTCTCAAGGCGCTGCCCGTCGGTGATCTCCACAGACAGTGGCACCTCCATCCCCCCCTCACCAATGGGCGGCGCCGTGGAAGACGAAGAAGAGGGCGGAGCAGGTGAAGGAGGGATGGAGGGTGGAAGGGGAGATGGAAAAACAGGAGGAGGAGGGGAAGCCAAGGGGGGTGAGGAGGAAAAAGGCGGGGCAGGGGGAATCACACGAGGGTAGACTGAAGGCGGAGGTGGGGTGGGGACCGAGGTAGGGACATAGGGCATAGCAGGAGGTGCGACCACCTCCTCCTCCTCCTCCGCCTCCTTGAGAGTGATCGGGAAGAGTGAGGGAAGGGGCTCATAGGGCATCGAACGCCCCCCAGGCTCCTGCTGATGCCAAGCCTTCCATCCTGCTAGGGACATGGTCTCATAGAACACAGCTTCCACAGTGGTGATGAGGCGGTTGGACTCCGAGTCCAGCACGGCCCAGCCCTTGCTCGCAGCTGACACACCCAAGTGCAACCCCCAGCGAGCCTTAGGCGCCAGCTTCCCCCCACGCTGCGACTGTGGTACCATGTACTGCAGCATGCAGCCCCAAACACGCACCATACTGACATCAGGTTTGCGTCGGAAGGCGAGCTCGTACGGCGTCACACCAGAGGGTAGTGAGGCGTGCTCCACGCGGTTGCGCACCCAGACGGCCTGAGCCAACGCCAGGTGCCACCAGTGATGCTGCACACCCATGTGCAGCAACATCGTCCGCACCGCCTCCACAATGCTGCGCATCTCCCTCTCGGCCATCCCGTTCTGCTCCGGCGTGTACGGGCATGTGAGGTCATGGTTAATGCCTTTACCGTCGAGGAAGAGCATGAAGTCGTGCCCCAGGAACTCGCCACCCCGATCAGTGCGCAGCGCCTGCACCGTGGTCTTGCACTGTCGCTCTGCCATCGGGAGCCACTTCTGGAATGCCGCCAGCGCATCACTCTTCTGGGCCAAAGGGTAGGCCCAGACATATCACGTCTTGCGATCCTTCAGCACCAAGAAGTAGCGGCTGCCGTCCTTAGCTGCTTCACGGAAAGGGCCACACAGGTCAGCATGCACCACCCCGAGCAACTCATCCTCCTCCTCTCCCACAAAAAGAAAGGTATGACGAGTGATCTTTCCCCCAACACAGGAGACACAAGGTATGCCTGACTTGCCCCCCTTCTCCAAATCCAAGCCCTTCACTGACCCGTGAGCCGCTGTGCGCTCGATGGCATCAATACCAACGTGTGACATACGCGCATGCCGCAGGTCCCCCTTAGACCGTACGCCCGTCGCCAAGGTACAAAGTGCCACCGTTTCGCCTTCCTGCTGCTGCGTCGAACACGGCTGGAAGTTCGTGCAGAGAACACGTCCCTTGAACTCCGCACGACCAAGGAGCGATCCATCTGGTGCCCGCAGCAAAGTAACATCCCCGGCATCCAGCAGCTGCACACCACTATCACGCAGCTGCCCAACAGAGAGAAGACTCGCCTGCACTCTTGGTACGTACAGCACGTCCGGCACCAAGACACGCCTGCCCCCCTCCCCAAGAAGAGCGACTGTGCCTCGCCCCTGCACCTCCTGAAGCGCGCCATTGAAGGCAGTAACCTGTTTAATACTGCCGCCGCTGCTCATCTCCACAAAGCCAGAACGATCTCCCATGAGATGGTGGGAGCATCCGCTATCAAGCAGCACGACGCTCGGGTTCGTCTTCACAGCAGCTGCAACAGCCTGTAAGCCCTCCCCGGCCTCAGGCTCTAGCACAACGAGAGGAGTCTGCTCCACAACGGGCTTCACCATCGCACATGATGACTGCCCGCTCCCCTTAGAGCCATTACCCCCCTTTCCGCTGCTACCTCCAGAACCCTCTCCACCAGTGTCTGCCTCCTTATCCGCCCGCTGCTGACAGTACTTAGCAACATGCCCTGTCTGTCCACACACATAGCACTTCCCCTTGAAGCCCCCTTTCCCCCTCTTCGGCTGGCCATCCTGACCCCCTTTCCACTTCTCCCCTCCCCCACCAACCCCACCCCCATTCTTAGGCTGCTGCTGCTGTGCCGTAGTGGGAGGGGAAGGGAATGAAGTCTGTTGGAATCGGGGCTTACCCTTCTTGGCAAAGACCTGGTTAGCCTGGGGAAGGAATTGGTCCTTTCGTCCCTCCGCCGCCAGCGTACACTCCTCCTCGATGATGTAGCTAGCGAGGGTGTCCTCGTCCAACTCCTTGCGCACCTGCGGCAACTTCAGCATCCTGCGTAAGAGGTTGTACTGCTGCTGCAACCCCTTTACAACGTGAGTGATGTACGACGCCTGCGAGTAATCTACGCCGGCCATCCTTAGGTTCACTAGGATCTGCTGCGCACTGTTGCAATAGGACGTAGCGGACTCGTGCTCTCCCATCTCGAGGTTAGTGAGCGCCTGCTCTAATTGACCGATGTACAGATCATCCTTCGCCTTGTACGTGCGCATAATAAACTGCCATGCCTGATAGCCAGCATCTACCTTCATGCGACACGCCTTAAGGGCGATCTGTACGGTTGGGGAGCAGCATCGAGAAATGGTGGTGAACGTCAGCAACTGCATTGCGCGGAACTGGGAGAGATGCGCAAGTGCACGCGCATGTGGAATGGGGGTGGTGCCGTCTATGAATTGTTTTAGCTGAGCGATCTCAAGCTGGGGCTCGATTGATTCTGTCCATGTCGACAGGTCGTGACGTCCTTCTAACGGCCTAGGGATAACGATCTTGTCTGGAGTGAATCTGAAGTAGCCATAGTTGGGGGCTATTCCCTCGTCCCTCGACATCGATCCAATCGGGGTAACGCCCGGCATAGCCTCACTATCGAACTCTTCCGCATTTCCTCCTCCAGCAACGCTCTGCCGTCCTACATTCGCATGCTCTCGTGACGCTGCTGCACGATGAACACGCTCCTGTACACCGCCGACGCTAGCCGTACTAAACCGAGTTGGTCCTCGCAGGACCCCACGTGACATCAACCCATCAAGCTCCTCGTCATCGCTATTTCCGCCATCGACAGCCATATCCCACGCACTAGTACCTCCCGCAGCTTGCTCAACATTCTCTACATGTGGCAAAGGGTGCTCACGACGCCGACGCGAGCGCAATCCCTCCAACATTAGCTCATATTCGATATCACTAATCTCACCACGAGAATGACGAGCCACGAGATCCTCCTCTAGGGTGCGCAAAGTACCGGCCTCCACATTTGCCTCCTCTGTACTCATCCTCTACGACGTCTCTATAAGGTACCACAAATTAAAATAAAGTGCCCCTTCCTTACATCCATCGTCTCGGGGTCACCTCACAAGGGTCCTCAGACGAGTGGTAATAAATTACCAAACGCCCTATCCTTGGGTCCGAGAACGTAACTGGAGAGAAATCAAGAGAGGTTCTGTTGGATGCACGTCATTCTGAGTGCATGTCATCCTAACGTCCTGCCAAGTGCTCGTGCTTTTCATGCGTGCATTGTTTGCATGAGCGTATGTCATTGTGCATAGCTGTGGGATATTATCATCTCTGTGTTTTTCTCCAAGTCTAAATGCTTGATCATGCAGGAGAAATCCAGAGCTTTCCAACGACACCAAGATCGCCTTATTCCGACCAAGATCGCCCAAGTTACAAGATTTCCAAGATTTGGATTTCTTATTACCTTTTTGGGGTTATATCTAATTTGGGTGATTACTTTGGACATGACTATAAAGGGATCTTTGATTGGGTGGTTAGGAAGCCAACTTTGACTTTTGGATTGGGGTGGCTAGAAGTTTCTAGCATGGGTTGCAAATGTTGCAACACCTAGGCAAAATCCAACTAGATTGGATTTTGCATGTGACACCTCAAGGACTTCATGATGAGGGTTGCATCCTTGCTGCTAGGAAGGTTCTTACCATCCTTCCCTAGCTCTTGGAGAACCCCTTCCCTCTCATGGTTCTCTTGGAGGTTCCCAACTCCAACTTTCTATGCCTTAATGCTTGTACTTCCTCCACCATTCTACTGATGCGGCTGCTGGACGTTTTTACATGGTTCTCACTCTCTAGACCATCTTAACAACTGATTCAACTTGGAGATGGTAGCTAAGCCTAAGGCGCACAATCCTACTGAGCGGATTTGCGTTTAGTTGAGTAATGAGTTCGTCCTAAGTTCTCAAAGTGACAGATCCTGAACAACAAGTGGTATCAGAGTGGGTAGTCGACTTTGAGACGACGAATCGTCGTGAATTCTCAATTAATGTTGTCGAGTGAGACCATTTTCTAGTAGCTCGGCTTGCGAACGTTCGATTGGTGGTCGAATCGCGTTCTAATTCGAAGTATTTAGTTCGTGACGGCGATTTTCGTAGAATCGAAATTTCTGGCAGAATTCTCTCCAAACGATTTCTCAAGTTTCCACCGTTCATAAGGCCTCAATATGGTTGGTACGAACTCCGGAGGTGCTAGTGGCGAGATGGATAGGAGTAGAGAGGCTGGAGAGCAGGGGGGAGTTGCTGGTGGAGGAGTGGGGACTCACCAACCAGCCAACCCTACGCTACCTACTTCTTCTCTACCATCTTCTATTACCGTGGATCCTGTGAAAGCTTTCTCTATTGAGAAATTCATGGGGGAGGACTACGAGCACTGGAGTTTCCACATGAGGCTGATGTATACCCAATACAAGCTATTGGATTTGGTGGAGGGAAAGGAGAAGATGATGGAGGTTGTGGAGCTGAAAGGAGCGTGGATGAAGCGATCGTTCGACGCGTACATGCTCATGGTGCAAGCGGTGGGCGGACGGCAACTTGACCACATCAAGGACCTCTTGGGTGATCCAGAGTGTGGCCCCAAGGCTTGGAGGAAGCTTCTGGATGTGCACTCACCGACACATGCTACCGGCATCGTGCTACTCGCGCGGCGGCTGCGCGACATCAAGTTCATTGATGGAGAGCCGATGCAACCGGTGTTGGATGAGATGCGCGACATCTTCACGAAGCTCCAAGGAGGCGGTGTGGTGTACCCGAAGCTCGTGCAATGCGTGGAGATCGTGATACGGCTGCCGGAGTCATGGT